AATCTGACCAATGAGAATAAAGTGTGTTGTCATCAAGCCAAGACTTTCGCAGCCGATTTTGAGCATCTGCAGCGCCTGACCTAGGTGGCTGGTCTCGTTTTGCTCTGGCGGTACTTTGATGGCACATGTGATCGTAAGGCGGCTGCAGCGCCGATCAAGTCGGACAAATGTTATAACCAGAATGCATTGCTTTTGTCAGGCGGCAGCCGATCTTTGTGGCGCCGCATGAAGTCGAACAAGCCTATTATTATCAGAGCATGTGAGCAGAGCAGAGCGCCACGAGACGTATAGCGTCATTTTACCAGCATTGCCCAGTACAGCTGTACTACACCATGTTACAGCACAGTAGCGCTGTTGTTAACAGAAACAAGAATACTGCATAGAAATTTCCTGTCGGCGCGTTATTTGAGCGGACTTTGCTTTTCCGTTGAGCATGAGCGGTACATGAGTGGAGCATTCGCATGGGCTGTGAGCAACTCAACAGAACGCACATTCATAGAGCGGAGTATTGAGTGGAGCGTCACACCGCGCAGTGACGCCAGCTAGAGGGAGAGTGAAACCCGCGCGCTGAACACTGATGGGCAGTGCGCCGTGCTATATATCTTCAGCGAAAACCGAAAATTCCATTTTCAGCCGATAATTTTCAGTGGGCAAAACGGTGCATCCCTAGTAAATAGTGACACAAAAGAAGGAAATAACACTTAAGATATTTTTCTATGTTCTCAGGCACACAGATCTCAGACCAGGACCTCCATTAGCAGGTAATTGCGAATTATGATGACTGTAATAATGTTTGTCATGATCGTAATAATGTTTTAAAAACATCTTTGGGTAATCAGTGCCTTCTGGTCACTTGTCCAAGCTATTTTTTTCAGCCTTTATCAGGTTAACCTTCGTATTCTCTGTGGGGCCTGTTTGAACCCCATTTGATGTTTCCCTCATTAAAAAACATTGGGTCTCATTCACTAATAATTGCATTGATTATTCGTATTTATACGCACATTCAAACTTCTCATGAAAACTTTCCGCCTGTAGCATTTAGCATATTATCACCTGTAGCATGTCTGTCTGTGACGTACCCAAATTAAGAATTAACGACCATTTCTACAGCCATTGCAGCCAAGAGACAGCAGAGAAAGAGCGAGAGCATCTATTTACCTCATCAGCACACCAATCTGCACACCAATTCTCGCATCTGCAGCACTTATTTTGATCTTTAACGTTAGGTCTTTCCTATTCTTGGAACAAAATGAATGCTTAAGTCTGATTCAATATTACTCTTAATGGAAAAAATTTTTTTTATACAAAAATTAAAAACACACATCAGCAATACTACACCACTGACAAAGTCGCTTATATTAAACAATAAAACGTTTATAAATAAAGTAAATACTGATGTATACCCGCCCTGTAGCACAAATAAATAAAAGCTTTTTGGATTTTCCCCTTACTTTAATAATAATGAGCCACAAACTAAGCATTCGTTTAATGAAAAAACATAAAATCAGCCATAAAATAGTACAATGGCAAATCTGCATATATTAAACAGCTGTTTTGTGGTCGACCGACATTTTTCAAATATCGGCATCGGCTGACAAGTTTTTCTGTTTGGCCGATGCGTTCGAGGCGGGACATTTATTTTGACGGCGCTGTGCTCACATTCTCCCTCTTGTTCGCCGTTGTCGTTAACAGTTCTGTCTAAATACGGATAGAAGTCTGTCTAATAATCAGATAGAACTGTTAAACAAAGGAATTAACATGTATACAAAAAATATTATAACGATTGCTTTTATATTATTAATAATAGAAAGGCAAACATTATAATATTTTCTCGTTTGCTGTCAGCATTCAGCAAATACGCATTAACATCATTTAAACAAATCTTTGAATGGTTAATGAACATTTAATTTCACAAACCTTGCAAACTTAGTCGAATCCAGTTGTGAGATCTTGTGAAGTGTGCATGTGACCTGCATGTGATCGCGTGTTCTCTGCGTGACTTT